TCATTAATATTAGCAACAAAATGAAATTGCACTTGCACTCGCTTTGTCGGGAATCGCAGCAACTTTGCACGAAGGTGGACGAACAGCCCATTCAGCTCTAAAATTGCCATTAACTATGCAAGGAAATGAAACTCCAACTTGCAACATTTCGAAGAACTCTGTAATGGCTAAGGTTTTGCAGCAATGTTAATTGATCGTTTGGGATGAATGCACGATGGCACATAAAAAATCTTTCGAGGCTTTATACCGAACCTTAAAAGATATGGTGGTGCAATGATTTTATTAGCGGGAGATTTTCGTCAAACATTGCCAGTGATTGCACGATCAACGCCAGCTGATAAACTCAACGCATGTCTAAGGTCATCCAATATGTGGAAATATGTCAAAGTACTTCATTTAAGCAAGAATATGCGTGTTGAGTTGCAAAATGACCAATCTGGAAACATATTCTCTAAACAACTCATTGACATTGGTAATGGCAATTTTCCTATTGACATGTTGACTGGATGCATTAACTTTCTTCAAAATTTTTGTCTTTACCTCAATCAAAAAAAGAACTCATTCAGAAGGTATTTCCAGATGTTGCTCAAAATTACAGAAACCATGATTTGTTAAGCAAACGAGCTAAATTGGCAGCCAAAAACATTGATGTAAATGAATTAAATTTCAAAATTCAAGAACAAACTACAGGCGAATCGAAGATATATAAATCAGTTGATTCGGCAATTAACCAAGACGATGTAGTTAACTATTTACCGGAATTATTGAGCTCGCTAGATTTGCCCGGATTGCCACCTCACAATCTTTGCTAAATATCAACCAACCGCGCCTTTGCAATGGCACACGGTTAGCAATAAAAAAATTACTAAACAACGTGATAGAAGCAACTATATTGAAAGGAAAGTATGAAGGAGAAGATGTTCTCATTCCGCGCATCCCAATGATTCCGACTGATGTTTCCTTTTAGTTTAAACGACTACAGTTTCCAGTGCGGCTTGCTTTTGCTATGACCATAAACAAGTCTCAGGGCCAATCATTAAGTATTTTTGGCATTAATTTGGAGAACCCATGTTCCTCATATGGTCAATTGTATGTTGCCTGTTCTCCTATTGGAAAACCATCAGATTTGTTTGTCTATGCGCCAGGCAATCAAACAAAAAACATCGTTTATCACAAAGCACTACAATGAAAATTTAACTGTTTTTTTATTGGTAATCGTTATCATTATGATTTACATGATTAAAATTGCTTACTTTTAAATGCTTATAGTGTTTTATTTAATTATTTTTAATTCACAACGAATTATTACCAGGGTGACGGTTCTGTTCAGGATAATTTTTTGTAAAGAATTTAAAAAAGGTAGGAACAAAACACTGCCACATTACAATTTTTTTTGACGGCACGAAGTCTGTCGGGTCAGCTAGTTACTTAATAAAAAAGATATAGATAATGTTTTCAACAAATTCAATGAGTACAATTCTTTTTTACAATTCACTCAGGAACTTGAAAATGATTCGACGTTACATTTTCTTGACGTAAAACTCATTAATAGAGGCGGTGTATGTTATACAGACTGGTACAGAAAAGATAGTTGGTCCGGGAGATACATTAATTTTAATTCGCATGTTCCTCTCAAAATAAAAATTTCTACCATTCTAAATCTTGTAGATCACGCTATTTTATTGTCTGATCCTCTGTTTTATGATACAAACATAAAATTAGTTAAAACGATCTTACTTGGCAATAATTTTCCATATAAGTTAATTTGTCCAATTATTAAAAATAGAGTCGCAAAATTACTTGAACCTTTTGATAAGAAACCGGAAGAGCCTGGCAAAACAAGTGTTCCTGAAAAAACTTTTTTCATTAATTTTCCATATCTTGACAATAATTTTAACCTATTATCAAAAAGACTTTTCAAAAAACACAATATTCGTATTACTTTTTCTTCATTAAAACAATTAAAATTTTTATATTCCAAAATTAAAGATGAAACTCCATTAACAAAAAAGAAAGATATAGTTTATAAAGTAAATTGTTTGGATTGTAATTGCTCTTATATTGGCCAGACCTGCCAGAACTTAGAAAAGAGACTCAGGCAACATGAATTACAATGTGAAAAAATAGATAACAAAAAATTTAAAAGTACACTTGTGGATCATGCTAATATCAACAACCATAAGTTTGATTTTGACAATCCCCAAATTTTATTCCATGAGGAAGACTTATTTAAACGGAGCATGGCAGAATCAATATTAATAGTTCGGACTAACAATAGCATAAATCTAAGAACCGACACAAATATTTTACATGACACTTATATAAACATCATTAATAATTTATAAATTTTTTCATTTATCTTATTCTTTTCAATAAATTAATTTGTTTTTTCATTTTTATCGATTTTTGTATGCGATAGCACTCCTTTTGTTTACATTATAATGATACTCATTCTGTCTCCATCTAGATAAGTACTTCAAATTTGTTTAGAATATTTCTGTAAGTGTTATATGTTTCTTTAGTATTGTGTCAAGCATTGCAAGGAATAGTTAGTGTTTTTTGTATATCAAAAATTAAATGAAATTTAAATAAATTATTAAAGAATGTGTAGTATATAAGTAACTGTTTTTGAAATTACACTGAAGATGAGACACACCATGGTCTCGAAACGTCTGTAATCATAAAATAAAGTTGTGTTAAACAAATCTGAGTGCTGTTTTGTTCATATTAAACAATTAATATTCGTTCCACTCATATCATAAAATTCTATATTTATATATATATATATATATATATATATATATATATATATACATACAAACACACATGCAAACATATAATACACATATACATATACAAATACAAAAATATATACCTATATATGTACACATATATAGGTATATAGAATTTAAGAAATGCATTTCAGAAATAGTATTTATTATTTTGATATCAAGATCTTTATATCAAAATAATAAATACTATTTCTGAAATGCATTTCTTAAATTCTATAACTTTAATTTGACAAAAAAATATTAAGTGAAATAAATAAATTAATTTTTAATTATTGTGGACAAAAAATTAGATATAATCTAAAAGCGTATAAAATATATTGATTTTTAATTTATTTAGAAAATCGAGGCGATTCGGGGGTTGATTATAATCAAGTATTTTGAAATTTTCAATTATTTTTAATGTATGTGCAATATTAATATTTAAAAAAACTAGCATTTAATTTTCAAACACAACATTCGTATTTCATGTTGGGTTTTTTAAATTTTAATTTAATTTAATTTTTCATCATTTACAATATCCAAAATTGCGTCGTAAACTTCGCCTTATTGATATCGTAAGAGCCGTCATATTCAGAGTATCAGCTTGTTGTTTTAAAGTTAAATTTTTAACGTATTTTAGAAGTATTGTTAAAAAATCAGTAAAAAATGCAAAGAAATTACACATTTCTTGAAAAATGTCGAAAAAAAACTTATTATATTTGATATGTATTATTTCTGTATAGTTAATAATTATTTAATTTAGAGTATGGTATAAAACAAGCCTCAAGATTAAACGTTAAAACTCTTAATGTGATCTTACTTTCGGTGGAAAACTGTGGTGAAAGGAGTAATTTTGATAGTGCATCAAAAAATTAAGCACGTCTACGACTACGTTATTAAAAACAACGCGACCTGAATAGTGGATCAGGGAACTGGAGATCGATGCCGGATTTAGGAAAAGGCTGAGCCTACAAGAGGAGAGCAGACCGCATATCGGACAAGTTAGAATGCGCCATCGACGTTTTATCTGGGGAGAAGGCAGGCATTGGAGTGCGCCACCTAGGTTATCCGGAGAAAAGATAACTGATGCGGCATCAGTAATGGAGTTTTGAAAGATCGAGAGCGACCTTTAGAGGAGATGGGGTAGTGTTAATAATATGTCTGTGGGCACTCACACACATGTATAAATGACATAACTACACCTCTCCCTATATGCGTATGAGAGCCATGTCCCTGATGAGGAGTGTGACGAGGGCTGAAAGTGGTTGTCTGCATTTAGAGTCTAGAGTCGGTCGTGGCCAGGCGTGAAAGTTGTCTGCATGGTTTCAGAGACCAAAAACGTGCGGTCCAGCGCGCAAAAGTGTAAATCAAACATATTTATAATGTGAGCCTAAAGGACGTCATGGGGTACAGTGTTTCGCAAGCTGTCCCCAAACCGAAAGTAGACTTTGTGTATTGAGACTAAACTTTAGAGTGAAGTAAATGTGTGTGAAGTGAATCGGGCCCGATGTATGGACATGTAATAAACACTCGTTAAGCCGTAGTTAAAAATAAGACTAGAATAAGTCGCATGTTAAAATAAGAAATGTTTTATAATAAAGTAAGAGATTAAAATGTGTAAATATAGGTTAATTAATTAAGTCGCAAACAAACTACTTGTAAATTCATAACAAAAACAGAGTCACGGGTAACTTATAATTGTGATACCGTACATAGAGTCAAGCATAAATAAAAATTAGAACTCATAACCTACCTTTTTGATAATTCTGTCAAACAGCTATACAAAGCCGCCCATTTTGTGTGGTAAATGTATAATACGTTGTAACGTAGCTGACACTTAACAAACAAAACCAAAGTTTCTACGTTCAAGTCGATTAGAGGCGACAACTAAACGCAATATAAACGTTTTAGTAACGTGCCCATCAATAACTTATCAAAGTTTCTTTTGTGCTACGTTATTTCGACATCTGTTAACCTTAAATTTAATTTATGGCTGTGGTTTACTGGAAACCTTGCAGATACTTACACCTGATTAGGTAGGTTATAAACAAAACCGAAGTTTCTACGTTCAAGTCGATTAAACGCGACAACTAAACGTAATATAAACGTTTTAGTAACGTGCACATCAACAACTTATCAAAGTTTCTTTTGTGCTACGTTATTTCGACATCTGTTAACCTTAAATTTAATTTATGGCTGTGGTTTACTGGAAACCTTGCAGATACTTACACCTGATCAGGTAGGTTAAGCGTAATTGAGCCTTGTGCATCTTCACCATACTTAATGTAACCGAAAAAACCCATTCCAACATATAAAACTACGATTGATACCATCGAGATGTTAAGGACACCTACTTTGCCACCGAATGATTTAGGAGTCTTCATCTCGTTCTCCAAAGGCATTATCTAAAAACCAATATAAAAACCATAAATAAATCAGCCACAAAGTTATGGGTATTCATCATTCTTCACTTGCCACACCAATAGCTTCCAAAGCAAAAAGCACCGTTCCAAAAAATAGTGGGAAATGTTGAAGTTCACCTATTGATTCCCTTTTATCTAAAGACAAAGGATCATGGAACACATAATACAAAATAATTCCAAAACTTACGATAGTGATGATGTTGGCTAATGTTGAAAAGGGTGCCAAAAATTTTAAGTTGCGCACCCAGTTGATCAATATCAATGGTAACAAAATTGCCAGCATGTATAATCTAACGTCCGTCTGAGTGCCTAAATTATAATCGACGACTGCTTTGATGTTGGATGCAACAAAGACCACGTAAACGCAGCATGTGCCCAATTGATAGATAAGGAGGAAAGTGTTAATCACATGACTAAAAGATAATATAGGGATATTGTGAATAATAAATATAGTGTTCGTGTCACCATAAACATTTTTATGATACTTCTAGGTTACTTACACTGATGCGGACGCAAAAGATTTGAAAATTAGTGGGCCCTCATTAAAAGCGCATTCAGCAGTAGCAGGATACGTCATACTTGGCACCTTCTTCTGTTTGCACAATTCATACTGCGATTTTATCAATATATGTATGCAATATGTACATAAAGCTCCAATTAACATGGTTCCAACTATACCAACTGCGTATCCTGCATGATGAAAAGCGTTTGGCATGGCTAATATGCCAGTTCCTAAAGATCCTTTCAGAAGATGAAGCAGAGTTTCTGCATTTCTGCAAAAAATGATGGTTGAAAGATACAAGTTGCTAGAGCAGTATTATAGGTAAATTTGCACAAACTTAACGATAAGCACCAATGATCGAATTAACAAAAATTTTGATAAATGTTTAACTGTTTACTTCAAAAATAAACTTTTTGCTTTACTTTACTGAAAAATTGATATCTTTCAAACCGACATATAATATCTCTAATTGTAATAAATAAATTTAATTTATTTAATAATTTTCATTCAACTTTAGGTTTAAAAATTGCATTCAGGTGTAAGCTTTAATGATCAGTAACAAACACACAATGAAACTTATTTAAGCCGGTACAGCCTATTACTCCAAAGTATAGAATAACTATATATTTTTTTATGATTATACAATTTTTTGTAGACCAATAAATTTTTAGTAAGATAGTTTAGATAATAAATAATATTAATATAGAAAGTTTTATGAAACAAGTCCTAAAACATTTCTGGCTTGCTTTACCACAATAAAAAAACTAATCAAAATGATTCCCAGCAAATTTTTGTTTCAAATGGTATTTAAATTTTCAAAGTCAATTGAGATTTTTTTCTAAAATGTTGACGAATACTTTTGCATTATATGTGCTAAGAAATCTGTTAGAAAAAGTAACTCATACGAGTCATTAATGAGGTTCATCAGATAGTATTTAAATTTTGAAACAAAACGAACGTCGACGAGGTAACAAAACACATATGCCGCTACGATTACAATAAATGCATTAAATAACCTAATTTTTGTATGAATTATGAATAAGGAATCTTTGGTTTGTGGTACATAAGTCTACTCTGGTAATTTAGCCTTACTAATTATTTTCAATTTTATATTTATATTTATATTTTTATATTAATATTTTATTTTAATTATAATTATTATTTTTTAAAAACAATACCATACATTTTCATATCAATATATGGCAATGTATGTAATTGTTTTTAAAAAATAATAATTATAATATGTCAATTATTATTGTAGAAAAAAGTTAAACTTCATAATAAAATATCAATTCTTATATTCAGCTTCACGGGTATTCTGCATTTGTAAGTGGCATAGCGTGTTTACCATACGTCTCGCGGTTTAGTACTAATTTCATAGCAGGTGCGGAGGTCATTTTTGGCTTCAGTCTTTCTGCTATTTGCCACCAGTAAACCACAAAACGTAATAAAACCATCATTGTTATGTACGTCCGCACGTAGCAGGTACGTAACCTGGGAGGCACACGGAAGTATCTATTTCGCGAGCAAGAACGTATTGCGTTGCACACTAATACGACGCATCTTTACTACGTAACTAGGTTGAATAAAAAAGCGTTTAGAAGTTTTTTATGTCAAATAATACTTTAATTAAATTTCCTGCAAATATAGAATCTATTTCAGATATTTAGTAATTTTAATGAATATTTTCATTTACAATGTATAAAATTTACATATTATATAGTAACAACATTAGAAAATTAAAAGTTGATAACCTATAAAAATAAATATTCATGTTAAACTCTCTTGACTCTAAATAATTAAGTATTATGTTTAACTCTCTTGGTAACATTTTTTTGCCAATCTGAAACCATGCACTACTTGCATCAGTTAATATATCTAAAATAGAGCCAAACATTGTAAACAAATTTTGAATTAAAAATATGGTGAACATTAGTAAAAAAAATTAGTTATTGGTTGAACATTACCTCTAAACATATTCATTTTTTTGAACTTAATGACTATGTAGTCCTTAGGATCATATCAAGAACATATGTAGATAATTATTCGATGAACACACGCTCGTTAATTTTCTTGCATTGATTTTATTCTCTAAATTTTCAAGATGTGAATTTTTTAAAAGTAAAATTAGTACTGAATCATTTGTTAAAACAAAATTATTTTATAGTTGAAATTCTCTTTGTGTAAAACATTAATATACTAATTTTATAACACAAGATCGTCATTTAAGGAATATTCAACCTTTCATTTTCATTTCAACACCTAAAATACGTTTCAGTACAATTATACTCACCTTCTTTGTCGGTTCCATATTCAATACTTTTGCAGCTGACTGTTTAACTAATTTTAACATCTGATAATACAATATATATAAAAACAATTACTATATAACGATTCGATAAATAAAATATCTTACAATTCAAAAATATACGATAAAATATTCAGTTCTGCGTTCACAATGTACAGAATTAATCTATATTAAATTTGACATTCCGAGCATAAAACACTTAACGGCTTTTTTTAAAGGCAAATCTATGTGACAATGTAACGTAGCTCGCCACGTACCGGCAACTACGAACAAAGCAGTATATAATACGTATAAACGCGTCGACGGTGGTTAAAAGTCACGACTATACGTAACAGCATCGTTTTTTTTTTTGACGTAACATTAGTTTCGTAACGATAGTTACAAAATGAGTTACTTGGTTTTAACACTAGTGGTTTACTGGGCCTTATATTGCATGTTTTGACTATTTTAGTCTATTCTCACAATTTTTTTGCGGTAATTTTTTAACGATGTGTTTAATTGTTTCTTCAATGGTCGGTTATCAAACTTTTGCCGCATCTACTTTATCTGATGTTTTACTATATTTGGTGTAGCACTTGTTCATGCAGATTATTAGCAGGCGCATAGTATTTGTGGTCATTAATGTTAGGCGTTTTGCAGCCGGATGTTGTCCATATTGTTTCCAAGTGGCATCATGTGTTGTGAAATGAAACAAAACTAATAGTTTTTAATTTAATTTGTATATATGACTTACGTCGTGGGATGTTCCACTTTCCTATGTTCATAAGGATCATAATATTCATCCTTTAAATTATTTTTGACGTCCTGGAGTTCCACACCAAAGACATTGTCATTGAGTTTGCTGTCAATGCTGGTCGCAAGACTACTGAAAATTTTAATGATTTATTATAGATTATATATTATTGATTATAAAATAATTATTAGCTATTAATTATATTAATAATAATATATATTGAAACGTATTATAAATGAACATATAAAAAGTTAAGAAGTTTTACAAAGCTTAGTTTTCTTTTAAAGCAATGAAATAAAAACGTAATATTTTAATGCATATTATCAATTCGTGAAGCGCAAAATTTAAGATATTGAATTGATCTAGACTGCTCGCAAAACAAAAGAAAAATACATCAAATGTCAAATCACGTGTCAAAAACAAAAAAGGAATCTTTAAAAATGTCTTTCATTGTTGTCACGCATTTTTTAACTTATGGATAAACTTTAGTATCTTAATATTGTTTTTTGATTTTTTTGTGATTTTGTTCTACTTATTCGAGTGATGCAGGCATCCTTATATTTTGTTGATAATTTTTATAGCAAGATCAGTAGCAAACATTAGCAAATGTTTTCAGTAAAAAACTATTCATTGAACGAAGAGTTTAGTGTCTTATTAATTTTTTTTGATAACATTCATATATCAAACAATTTATGTTTAAACATGTGTATTATAATAATTATTAAGAAATTGCATACATCTCATTTTCATATATATATTAAGCTTTTTAATATAATATATATATATATATATATATATATATATACTCGTATATATGTATATATTAATAAATTAATATAAGTAAGATTCAAATAGGTATATAAATGGGTATAATTCATAGATCGGAATGTACATTTTACTAGAAGTTCTACACTTTGCCACAACCAGTAGCGCCTCTAGCGTTGCAAGGCGCAATTATTCTGATTACTCGGAAATATCCTTCAGGTGAACTAAATATATAACTATATCTATGGTATAACTAATGTAAAATTTGTTACACAGTTTGTTTGTTAATACACAGTTTCATTAGATTAAAAATAATAAATAATTAATTTTTAATAATTTCAAATAAATAATTTCAACTTAGCACTTCAGTTTATATAATTCTTATAAATATTAGACAATGTTCTTTATTTTAAATCAGGTTGATTAATACTTTTTCACTTCAAAATATAAATTTTCTATGCGGTTTTAAAATAATTTGTCACCTTTTACTAAAACTTTAGTCTAGAGCCTGTGAACAATTTGACTAACCTGTTTTCACAAAGCTTGACATTATTTTAATGATATTTTATTAACGGTCCATTAAGAAAGTACCATTCTGGCAGTCATTCCGCGGTTGTGCCATCTTTCCTTCAATTCTTGAAAATGCCAAAAAAAATTCTTCATAACCTGTTCCCACAAGGCCCAAATTTTCGGGTGTATTCTTTTAATTGTTCAGAATGTATTTGTAAACATCCAGGCTATTCTGACGGTTGCAAGGGTCTGCAAGTTGAGTACATAATAGTCACTTGTATTTAAATAATTTATACGCCATTTTGTAGATCTTTTTGAAAACATCCGATATACCAAACTTCAATTTTGTATCTCACCTTATGGTCAAAATATCATTGAAAATATGCCAAAGTGGCCCCTTATTAGGGGGGTAAGTTATTGTAATGGGCCGAAAATCGAAATTGAAAATTTTTACATTTGTCGACGTTTTGAAGGTTTCTCAACATTTTGGCATACCTCAGAAAAAATTGATGTGTGTGTGTGTATGTATGTATGGATACAATTTTTTGTCTACGTTTTCGGGCGCACGGATCAACCGATTTGAATGGTTCAAAACACATTCGATTTCTATTGATAGGGAGATGTGCTGATTAGATTGGGAGAAGTGATTATTAGCTTCTGAGAATGGCAGGCCCAGCCATTTCGAAGTCACAAGGCTAAATGTGAGAAAAATGGCAGTTTTTGAGAGAACTAAGCGTCCAATTTAAATGATTCAAAGATCTGTCACCCCACTAGTTTGGTGTATGGCATCGTGTCTTAAAGCACATTGGTTGAACTTGTCGTACCGTAACGAAATTTTCGAAGAATACTGAATGTTTTTATAACGACACTTACAACGACATTTATTTTTCTCATCATTTTTTTCCCAACGTCTTTTTATCCCAATATCTCTCTACTCAACAGTTATAAAGTATCGCCCGGAGCTCTCTGAGTGATGGAAACGGAACACCAAAGTACAAACCAACGCCTCTACACTTGCTGTTAAACCGCCGTATAAACTATCCCTATCACTAGCATTACGCCCAATTATTCATCCTGCACATTTATCTATCTTTTCTATCCTATGCAATTATCTATCTATATATTCTATTTCTATCATTTTCATGTTCCCCTATTCTATCTATGTCATCTAATTATTCATAACTTTCTTTACTCAAAATCTTATTCATAATTTCTCTTACTCATCTTTATTTTATTTTAAGCAAACTCCTTTTATGACACTATATTATCGAAATATTTAAACGGATAAATTTTCTAATTATCATACTGAATTTACCTATCTCTAAGTAAAATATATTATTATTAGGGGGAAGTCCCGTAACGCCGTACGGCACCAAGGACCGGACACTCTATTTAACGCGTATTATTTAAGGAAGTAAAAATCTTTTCATTTCAAAATACAAGTGACAGGGACGCGGGGGCAAACAGGTGCAAGATCAAGCGCCAAGACTCAACTGTGACGCACACGGCAACGGCGGTAGCAACCCTTTGCTGTTTTAGGCACAAAATCACGGCGTCACCTAAATATCAATGGAAGTAATTCTAGCATATTTATGCATTTACATTCGAGTACGGTATGCAAAGATAAAAGTTATACTTGATTGTTATCCGTAAAATGGTAGAATATCATTAGATCTTTTAACCAATTTCAGTAGGTGCCATCAAATTAATGAAAATGTCTGTTCCTTAGCACCCGATACTATGTCGTCCCTTAGTGCCTGACGGTAAATATATTGATATTTCTTGTGAGAATTTACGTAATTTATTCCAATTAGTAAATTTTATTCTGTGCTAATGGTCACTACATACCGACATTTTTCGTATTTCCTAATCAAAGAATGAGAAGCTTATGAATGCATCAGCTGAGAGCATCGGTGTGGCCCAGCCAAACGGGTGGATGAATAGTGACTTTTTTTTGCAATATCTAAGAATATTTATCAAAGACACATGTGCAGACATTCCAGAGCGTGGAGATGGCTACATATGTGATCAATGTAGGATATTTTGAAATATCCGGTACTAGGTGCCACTGTTTAAAATCATATTTTTTGATAGCAAAGTTTGATTGATAGTATTAATTATTTTTTAGCAAAGATTGCGGTTTTGTCAATTTAGTTTGATTTATAACTTTATTGTCTAACATAAATCACAATTTAATAAACATTTCGTAAAATATTTTTTGATTTGTTTATAAATAACTTTAGGTGTCCCCCACTTGGAAACTTCCCCCTATAACTCGTTTTAGATTAGAAATTAGATTTCTATTTCCATTTCACTATTGACAGTATGAGCCATAATCAATCTTGATGTCAATGCGCTTAAATTAAAAATGACCAAAAACGCCCCGGTCGACTCAATTGCATCGGTGTCACCAAGAGCTTTCGCACTGAATTATATACAAGCTATTGGTAACTAATAAAAATTTGTCACAATTCAAATCCCTTTAAGCAGTTGTTTTCCGACGCATTCTCAAATAATGTCCGGCACCTCATATGCACGAAGGCAAATAACTCCGCAATTTTCAAAACTGCTCTAAATTTGTAGATAAAACATATCACAATAAAAATACTGTAGCGCAATAACGTAAACAAAACTAAAATGAAAAAGAAATTTGCTCATATTTTACAAACAGCTACATGCATTCGAAAATTATTGTAAACCCCTGAGTCAACAAAAATATATGAAAAGAAATATTTCCTAATATTAAAATATTTTTCATTTTACACTTACAGCTATCTAACCAAAATTTCTAACACATAAACAAAAAGCTTTTAGCCTTGGGTTGACATATAGAGACCAGCAGCTCGTTATACGAGAACATCCGACCGTCCGACTTCTGGACATCCATAATTTCACATATACTCGCCACACGCGTCATGAAAGTTTTTTTGAAAACGTAGGGATGAAACATTTACAATAAACGCAAAATTTCATACCTTTTCAATATAAGATTTTCACAAAATTTTCGAGGAATTCATCTTACCAAAAAAAAAAACTTACAAAAACGATATCTAAAACCTTTGTTTTAAATCAAAGCTATATTTTCAAAAACAAATTATATATATTTTCTATTAATAAAAATACCTTATGAAACAAATTAATATTTGTCAATGCAAGTTATTTATTATCCTAAATATATATTGTAATTTTAAAAATTACAAACCTTATCTAATTTTGACGAACAAAAGCCTTTCCTAAAAAAAATACGAACAAAAACTACAAACCCGCGCAATTGAAATTTGACGTATAATGACACAAATAAATAGATTCAGGATTTCAAAATTATTTTAAACCGCACTTAAATTTCTACTAAAATCAACAAATCACCTAATCAAAGCTCTAATAATTATTTGGACCACGCTATTTCTCGTTTTTGCACTAACACGTTTTGCGAAGTATCCCACAATTGCGCATAAATAATATAATCCAATCAAATCCAATACATGTAATATATATATATATATATATATATATATATATATATATATATATATATATATATATATATATATTTATATATATATATATATACTAGCTGACCCGGCAAACGTTGTTTTGCTAAATAAGGTATATTCTAAACCATTTCTAGAGAATCAAAAATATTAATATTTAAGTGCATAAGGATGTGTTGTTTGAATGCTGTATACAATTAGGTATTATAAAAACAATAAACCCCATTAGTTTGTCTATATTTTGTCAATACAATCAAACTGCATGTTTTATACACTTCCTATAGAAAACATCGTATAATCCAATCCGAGTCTTTTTTGGTCTTTCGGCTTATTAATTACGTTTCAACTTTTTCAGATTCTTTTTGG